GCTCCCCCACTTTAACTTCATTTTTTATGTAGACCCATTGCTAGAAATCAGTAACATACAGCACAGCCCAGTATGTAGATCTAAAAAAGCAACATTGATAGAATTAAAGAGAAGTTGCTTAAGGCTTACTTTAAACAATCCAACATTTTAATACAATGGCTTAGGTTTTGCCCAGTTAAAAATAATGTCGCTGTAAAAATGTTTTTATTGTTGCTTTAGAATCCTTTTAATAAATAAACATTTAGTTAAAACATGTAAATTAACATTTTTCAGCAAAAGGTTGAAGCATCCTTCCTACTTTGTGTCTCTAGATAAAATGGTGTTTTACTCAGTCTTACTGTTCCATACTCATGTTAAGATATAAAGAAATGAGAATTATATTCTGTTTTTTATCACCCAATATAATTTTTGAAGGCACACACTTCTGTATCTGAGTTGTTATTTGGTTATTATTCCTCCCTCTTCCTTATACAAGGAACTTAAGCTCTGAGGTTCAGGATTCAGCTGGTTTTCTATGTCTCTTTAAATCATTAACAGTTGAAGTCTGTGGAGAAGAGACAGACAGATATACATGTTGTGTACGGTGCATAATTTTAATTTCAAACTTTTAGAAACACTGAATGCAACGTTTGTCATATTCTCTCAAACGATGTGTACAGTGTAACATGTTGCAAAATGTTAGTGTTATTGTGCTTATTTTTAAATACAAGATACAGTGAACCAACTCATGCTCTCAACGTATGTGGTCGGCTCTGGAAAATAAAAACTATTGAAAAAATGCTTTATTCTGTCAAAAAATTGTCTGGCACGCCTAAAGGAGCTTCGTAGTGAGCCAATACATTTGTCTTATTTACTTTTATTTGCTGTTTTTATACTCATATTTAATGTTTTGTATTACTGTAAGAGGTTAGTAGGATTTTTTATAAGGGTTATAGGGTAAAATTTGACCTTTCATGAATTTGGCTTTATGTGCTACTATCAACAGTAGTATTTTGATCTACATTATATGACAATGAATATTACCTATTTGCTTAGTTTCTGAAGGAGACTGAGCAGTTCTGTCCTTGAATACATCAATGTAAAATTGCCAGATTTGTCTTCAATTAAAAATTAATATATTGACTTTCCTTTGCATGTTATAAAACAGACACTGCACCACATAAAAAGCTCCATGAAAAGCAATTGTATTAAGCTAATCTCTTGACTATAAAGGGAATCTATACAGATAAGACCAATGCACATTTGATCCAATTCTACATTGGACAACAACTCATAATTATGCAACAATTTAACAAGCTTTTGCATTTCTTATTGCATGCTCTTTGTACAAACAAATATGATTAATCTATCATCATATTGCTTAATTAAATGATCAAAACTTTTACATTCAAGGAATCCCATAAGTTAAAAGCTTTCTAGATTTTAAAACTCCTACAGTGCAGTCCATAAGTATTTGGACAGTGACACATTTTTTGCTGTTTTGGCTCTGTACTCCAGCATATTGGATTTGAAATAAAACAATGACTTTGGGGTTAAAGTGCAGAATGAAAGTTTTAATTCAAGGGTATTTACATCTATATTGTGTGAACCATATAGGAATCACATAGTTTATACATTGTCCCCCCATTTCATGGGTCCAAAAGTAATTGGACACATTAACATAATCTTAAATAAAATTTGGCATGTTTGCAAATTCTTTGCAATTGATGACCGTCGGAAGTCTGCGACCCATAGACATCACCAGACGTTGGGTATCTTTCCTCGTGATGCTCTGCCAGGCCTGTAATTCAGCCAATTTCAGTTCCTGCTTGTTTTGGAGGCTTTTTGCTTTCAGTCTTGTCTTCAGAAAGTGAAATGCATGCTCAGTGAATCCCAGGTCAGGTGATTGACTTGGCCACTCAAAAACATTCCACTTTTTGGCCCTGAAAAACTCCATAGTTGCTTTAGCAGTATGTTTGGGGTCACTGTCCTGCTGCAAAGTGAAGCACCGTCCAAAGTGTTCTGAAGCATTTGGTTGGATCTGAGCAGATAAGATGCTTCTGTACATTTCAGAATTCATCCTGCTGCTGCCGTCTGCAGTCTCATCATCAATAAAGACAAGTGAGCCAGGTCCACTAGCCACTGGCAGCCATACATGCCCAAGCCAGGACACTACCTTCACCATGTTTCACAGATGAGGTGGTATGCTCTGGATCATGAGCAGTTCAATTTTTTCTCCATACTTTTCTCTTTCCATCGCTCTGGTATAGGTTAATCTTCGTCTCATCTGTCCATAAAGCTTTGTCCCAAGGTCTCTAGAGGCTTTTGTATGTACGTTTTAGCTAACTGTAACCTGACCTTTCTGTGGCCTTTCCTTCCAGTGGTTTGCATCTTGTGGCAAACACTCTGAGATTATGCTGGTGTATTCTTCCCTTTATGGTAGTCTTTCACACATCTATGCCTACATTCTGGAGAGTGTTCCAAATCTGTTCAACAGTTATAAAGGTGTTTTTCTTCACGATTGAAAGTATTCTTCGGTCTCCCGTGGTCCACCAGGTTCTTTGCTATTGCTTAGCTCACCAGTGCATTCTTGCTTCTCAACAATGTACCAAATAGTTGATTTTGACACACCTAGTTTTTGTCAATGTCTCTGATTGATTTATTCTGATTTTGCAGCCTCATGATGGCCCACTTTAATGGCATTCACACTTCTTTGGTCCTCATGTTGAGAGACAACAGCAACAGACTCCAGATGTAAATACCACATCTAGAATCAACTCTAGACCTTTTGTTAGCTCTCTTGTTTCTAGTACATCTGTGCAATGTGAACAAAATTCAATTCACATCAAACCAGCTGACCTATATATTATAAGCAGATGGACTAAACTGGGGATTAAACAAAAAAAATCCAAACCAGGACTCAACCTGCACTTCACAGTACAGACACATGGTCTTTTACTGCAGATGCTGCAAAATAAAAGTGGATATTTGCTCTTTGACCTCAACATACTATATATTATCATGCATATTAGAAAATGGACAGATGGATGTATTCATTAGTGACTTAAGGTCAACAATACTTCATAAAAAAATTCACAATTCAGTTGTAAATTCCAATTAAGCATGCTATAGTTCTTGGTTTAGTTTTTCAGTTGATGGTAGCTTATTAAACCCCAGGTACAGCTGGTGGTATGCGTCAATGGATAAAGTGGATCCCTTCCTACTGTATATGAAAAGCTCTGTGATGAAAAGTGAAACACAAATGTAAACAATTTACTCTATGCTAGGATTTGTGCAATTAACCCCTAACTATTTCAGTAATTTTCAATAGCAAGGCCAGAAAAGCTAATACGGTTCAGTCTGACCTGAAGTCCTATAATAAAATGCAAAGAAATACTCCTATTCAAAATGATATTATTAAATATTTTTGTAACATGGATTCTGGTAAAGGCAGTTAAGGCAAATCAAGATTGGGGGAACTTTAATCTAACAACAACAAACAACAACCCCTAACAAACCGACAGTGCTCACTTTGTGCTTTTAGATAGAAAACGTCATAACAAAAACATGGTTAGTAGTGAAGAAAGATACAAGATGTGAAGAAAGGGTTAACTGACTCCTTCCTAAGCAACAGGCTGGAGTTTATGGCAGGAAAGGGAGATAAGTGATAAGGATTCCAGATGCCAGCTAGGAAACCCCAGGGAGGGGAACCTAAAACCCTTACCATTTGGCCAAAAGGCTGTAAACTGTCCAAACACCGTGACCTCTACCCATTACCATAGTACAGAGCGATGTCAGAAGCAGCACGAAAACTCTATATAAACTGAAAGTTTGTACCGGCACTTTGAACAATACTTTGGTTTTGTTGTTTCTTGCGGGGAAACAAGACTTCGGTTCTATTGTTCCTTGCATTCAATAAACTCATCTGTTTAACTTCTTCTCAGTATCCAGAACTTTATTCTTTCTGTTACAACAGTAGTGTTAAAGGGCCTGTAGTGACATATAATTACTCCTCAAACAGGTTCAATTGCTTGTTTGGAAGCAGGTTTCTGTTTTTTAGCCAGAGGCTGTCATGGTATGTTTTAAAAGGTAAACAAGATAAATTCTTAGCAGTTATGTTCCCTTATTTTAGAACCTCAATATCTCTACTTGAATACAAAACATTTCTAAATTTTAAGAAAAAAGAAAAAAGTTATGTATCTGTTCAAGTAAAAATCAAAAGGACTAGATTTACTTCGGAGGAAAAAAAATGAAACTACCTGAGACATGGGAGAGGACACATTTTATTATACTTCATTCTATTCAGGAAATCTATTTTGTTATTTTTCAAGATATCTTTCATAAATTAAAATCACTATTATGTGTCATCTATCAGGATTCAACTATTGGATGGAATGAAGATAAGAGCAAGTGCAACTAAAAGCCTAAAGGGATTTACAATTCGTGTAACACACATTTAACATCATTCAATGAAAGAAAAATCACGTCAGGCTGTGGTATAATCATTTTATGGTTGTACTCTTTTCTGATATACAGTTACCGAACAGTTAACAGCCAAACACTGTATAGGAATGGTCAATTAAATTAATATGGCAAAACATGAAAGTAAAAGAGCCCTTAATACAAAAAACTATTCCCCTTGGTGTTTCTCTCATGTCATGAAAAAAGAATAATGATCAGTATTTGACAATATAAACAGAGAAAAACAAAGTTTGTACTTTGTTGAAAATGCATCCGCATTCTCCTTAGCAATTTTTACCACACCAGTGTTTACTTTAGTACTACATCAGCTAAGTCAATAATTCAAACCTCTTTTTAAAAAATACAATAATTATAGTGAGCTTTTTTTATCAAAGTTTTTTCAAATCTTACCCAATCATTAATCTGGCATCCATTTACTTATCTGTTTTTACTGTACACCAACTGCAATGGATAAGATGCAAGAGCTTACAGTCAGAAGACTAGTGAACAGTGCGGGGTAAAACTATAAATAAATGTAAAAATCCAGTAGTTGCACTTACCCCAGTTCTGGCGCCAGAAAAATTCAAGTGTCTTCTGAGTAGCAAAATGCTTCTTCACTGAGTAGTGTATCCTCTGGATTAACATGTTTTTAAACCCTGCACGTTTCAGAATGTAGGCCATTGTAGAAGAATGTCCAAAGGGGTCGACAGCCCAACTAGTCATTGGTTTCACTCCTGAAAAAGTCCAAAAAAAGGGTTTAAGTACTAACACCCAAATTTCTAGTTTTGTTCCTGAAATGCTTTGAGGCCAAACAGTAACTGAAGCCAGAAATTTATTTTCATATCTTCACCTACTGAACATTCATATTCCAACACTGCATATATAACAGGCTATGATGAACCTTTAACATCCATATCCTGTACAGGTATGGTACTTTTATTTAAGACTAAACTAAATGAATAGCACGAAGGCTAAAAAGTCATAGAATTGGGATTGCTCCTGGCACAAACCACAAAGTCACAAAAGAAGGATCAAACTAAATAAAAAAGATCTTTCTGTGAATTATTTAACATAACCAACGGATTAGTTGTCTTTTTTTAAACTGCAATTATTCTAAATGTATTTTAGGAATAATTTTGGAATGTAGCAATAATTTACAAGTGGGGTCCAATCTGGTACAGACTTGAAATGGTGGCCGATGGCTACTATCAGTTAAAATAAGGTAAATTTACTGTTATTTCAGAGAAATAAGTTCATTAAAAGCTGAGTTATAATGAAAAATTGCTGAAACTCTGGACCTTCAGGATCAGAATTGGACACCCCTGGTGTAGATTCTAGAGTGTTACAACATGTAATGTATACTACTTTCGCAGTTAATGCATGGTTTAATTCTAAAGTTGTGAATCTTGGCATCAACTTGAAAAATGTCTTCAAGTCTTCAAGGCTGCTCCAGTGTTGCTCCTCTTAAGCCCTATAAATTGCCTTTTGACCTCATAATTACACACTTAATTACAACCTGGCATTTAATCGTAAGCTTCACAAAATGCAAGAATACATTATATTCCCACTCTCGTATTTTCCACAATCATTAATTCTTTACATGTAACTCTTCTTTTCTTTTCCACACTGGAGAAAAAAAGCAATTCATAATGCAGTAGATAATTTAATTGAAGATGATTTGCTCATTCAAGAACTTGAATTCGGAACACAAGCCACCTTTCCTTCACTTGTATCTCTATTGTGAAATGTGAACCTATGGTGTTCTCTGTGGTGAAAGGCTGTCCTCATACCCAGTAAATGAACTGCTAGATTTCAGGGTGAAAACGATAGGATTGGTTTCTTCTATTTATGTTTACTGTTAGCAGCTTTACGCAAAACCATTAGCAGCTGTTACTTTTGGAAAGATGGACTAGAATATTATTGATGAACAGATATCCTAGGACATTATAAATTCAGCTTCCAAAAAGCTTAATCAATTGATTCACTTACAGATGCAGCCATTCAAAGTGAGCGGTACAGACACGTACCGCAGGTAAGATGACACGGGGTACCGCGGTGCGTGATTGGTTGACCGACAGGGGCACTCGTGGTCCGTTGGTCTGTCGTAGAAAGACTTACTGTAAACGTCTTTACTGTGCCCGTTGTAGATATTGAATTTTACCACTGA